GAAGGCAGGAGAGGACAGGAAAGCTGGTAATACAGAACCCAAGGTTGAGAAGGGACAGTGTTGACATGTCGTGGAGTTGTTAACCACTGTCATAAAACACTATGTGTACTAACTATTTAATGAGAAACTACTTGTTCTGTAAACTTTCATCTAAAGTACAATAAAAATAAAGAAAAAAAATAAGAAGAATAGCTGCTGCTTTATGTTAAGTATATATTACAAGGCAAGATATGCATTGATAATGAGATGTTTTTCTATAATTTTTCACAATCATGAATATTTGAATATAATACTATGTATATAGCACTTTGCTTTGCAAAGCACTAAAAAATGTTCAACTCTTTGCACAGTAAAAGCATGTTGTCCCAATCCGAACTTGTGCAGTAAAAACCTCTGTCATTATTTCAAATTTTGAATTAGTAAAGTAAAACTTAAGGATTTTTTTTTTTTTCACTGAATAAGTTTTCTGCTACTCTTTAAACTATGTGCCTCCACAGAAGCAGAGAAGTTTCCGACATTTTCACAATCTAATGAAATTCTCTGGAGGAAAACTTTCCCTTAGTTTCAGCTCACTGTCCCCAAATAAGGATGCCATCACCACTGAAATTAAAAAAAAAACCTAACCAAAAATCCCTTTTACCCATTAGTTTTGATATATTCCTCTTATGTATTTAAGCAGGCTCTTTTATTAGCTGATGGGAGCCCTGGTGGCGCAGTGGTTAACGGTTAACAGATAGCTGCTAACCAAAAAGTTGGCATTTCAAATCCACCAGCCACTCTTTGGAAACCCTATAGGGCAGTTCTACTCTGTCCTATAGGGTCGCTATGAGTTGGAATCCACTCGACGGCAACGGGTTTGGTTTGGGTTTTCTTTTATTAGTTAAGTAGCAGGCATTCAATTTTATCTGTAAGTGTATCAGTTTAGTCTTCTCATCTTTTACTCTGAAGAATTAACTTGACTATGCTATGTAAATACATTATATTTACCAATAAGGATTCACTCAGTGTAACACACCTAGAAAGGCATCCATCTTCAAATAGGACTACAATGCTTTTTGTTAAAAAACACGATACTACAGTTGTAAAAATGTAGCACCTCTAGTCTGTGTAACTCCACTTATTATTAAGTCTTCTTAAAAACTCTACCGAGCAGTTCTACTCTGCACACACGGAGTCACCGTGAGTAAGAATCAACTTGGTGGCAACTAACAACAGGCATGGATGAGGGTAAATCTGAATGATGGTTCCTTGTCAACTAGTAATACTGACAGTATTTCTGTGAGCTAGCTAATTGCTTAAAATGCCAGGATATTCTGAGAGTACTTTATATACTCTGGAGTCCTGGTGGTGCATCGGTTAAGAGCTTGACTGCTAATCCAAAGGTTGGTGGTTTGAATCCACCAGCCGCTCCTTGGAAGTCCTATGGGGCAGTTGTACTCTGTCCTATAGGGTCGCTATGAGTCAGAATTGACTCAATGGCAACGGGTTTATATACCTTATCTCATGTAATCATTATTTTATAGAGAAGAAAGTGTCAGTTAGGTAAAAAATCAAACCAAACCTGTTGCTAGTGGATTCCAACTCATAGCGACCCCACAGAACAGAGCAAAACTGCCCCACAGGGTCTCCAAGGAGCGGCTGGTGGATTCAAACTGCTGACCTTTTAGGTAGCAGCCAAGCTCTTAACCGCCGTGCCACCAGGGATCTGTCAGTGAGGTTAAGCAACTTACTTTAAGTCATGTAGGGAGGGTAGTAGGAGTGATTTTAGCTCACTTTTGCTGCACCACAGAGAGGCACATTACGATCAAAACCAGTAAATAAAATGAAGTTGTACAACGAAGCCTGCTGAACTGAGTCAGAAGACACTATCACTAGCTATGTGATCTTGGGTAATCATCTCTCTGGCCTATGCCTCAGTTTCCTTACTATAAAATCAAGAGGTTAGGTTACTCTGATACTCACTGTTAAAAAAGTTTGTGTAATAAACTAATAGTTATTACACAAATGGCCAGGAAATACTAGAAGATTTTCTAAGAAGCTAAACTTTTATTTTCAGAATTTTTTTTAAACTTTAGAGTAACCTAGACATAACCAACTCTCCTTCGGTTGCCACCTCAATCCCACCCCAACCTTGTCTACCATAAGGCACCTCTTAGAATAACACACCCAAAAGAAACAATTTCAACTGCCAAAGCATTGCTAAGTAAGATATATTTTACTGAAGGTTATTCCTCAAAACCCCAGGGTGATGCAAATGGTTAACAAGCTTGGCTGCTAACCAAAAGGCTGGAGATTTGGGACTACCCAGAGGTGCCTTGAAAGAAAGGTCTAGTGAGCTACCGTATTCTTACGCAAATAACATGCACCTTCCACGTGTGTTTGCCAACCACTCCCCCCACCCCAAGGTATTTTCGTAAGTGTGCTATGCTAATTTTTCACAGAAACATGTAAAAAAATTAGTATAACGGCTCTTATGAAAATATCTCACGGGGAGGGAATGGTTGGCAAACACAGTAGAAGGCGCATGTTATTTGAGTAAAAATATGGTACTTCCGAAAAATCAGCCATTGAAAACCCTACAGAGCACAGTTCTACTTTGACATTCACAGAGTTACCACTAGTCAGAGTTGACTTAAAGTGGACTCAATGGCAACTAGTTTGGTTGGCTCTTTCCTCTTCCCAGGTAGTTGCCACACTTCTTTCTCTTTCCTATTTCCACCAATTTCTCAGGCCATCTCCATCACATCCTCTCAAAATCCTTCTTTGCTTGTAGTGAGCAAAATAAAAGCCCAGGAGAAGATCAAAAATTGGACTACATACTGTTCCTCAAGCACATACCAAGGAGGTCCCAGTTCATAACAAGTATCTTAATACAGTGTTGTACTTTTAAAGGAGAATAAACCCATAGTCTGGAAATTCTATTATTTTAACTGACAAAGATATAAAGCACCCTTCCTATCTAGTTTTCTCTCTGCCCTGGTCCAAAATCATTGCCATATGGAGCCACTATAACTGACAGAGTATGGTGCATGTAATGAAAGTTGGGGCAGGAAACAAAAAAGAATTACTAGTATTAAGAAAGTAATCCCTTATTTGTTTCAAATTGTCATTTAGTGTCCCACAGCGTTCATTTAAGAGAATAACTGAATCCCATACTCAGACATACCAGTTTAAAAAGCACACAACTCACTACCCACATTCAAAACTGCATGATTTTGATTTAGATTCATTTGATTATGAAAAGAATAGTAGTATTATTTTGGCCCACTTAGTTTCTTAAGTTTTTTATATGTAGCAGCGAAATTTTTTAATAAGCAGGGTGAAATTTATTGCCAGAGTAGGAAAATTGTAGGTGGGGAAAGGGAAGGGGAGCCCCTTATGTAGTTAGAGCAAACATATGACATCAGTCATTAACTCATGTACTCACTAGACAGTGGAATTTAGAACCTAAATTACCATGAGGTTATGCTGATGACCACTAGCCCAGAATCAGTGATTTAGTATGACAACATCATTTTTGAACTTCAGGTGCAATTTGTGATTTTTCAATAAATACATCTTGACAAAAGAATATTTCATAAATAACAAACTGTTAAGGGTAAAACCAAGTTATGCATTAGGAAAAACAATTCTAAATTTAGCATCGTAAATTACAACAAGGAAAGCCCTCACACCACCATTCACAAGTCTCAATTCAAGCAATTTATTTTTGGCAAGCGAAATCACAGCTGTCAACAGTGGGTTTTTTCCACCCCCAAATCACATAAACATATATTAAAAAATATAGACATCTTCATCTAAAAGTTAATTACAAATACCGTGTGTCGTTACAAATACTTTTATAAAAAGTCACACGGAAGGGGGTTAAAAAAAAAAAAAAAGCAAACAAACAAACCCTGGAAGATGCAGCAGAGCCCCCTTGCTCCCGAAATAAAACTCCTGGTGGCTGTAACAGCAGCGGCAGCGCTACTCCCGACAGAAGTTTTCAGCTGTCACTTCTAACAGCTGAGCGCTTCCTAGGAGAGAAGCGACAGGCCGAGAAGAGAGGTAGTTGTGGGAGATCTGAGGATTTAACACCTGAAGTATTACACTCGAAGGGAAACCCTTCCGCACTTCACCTGCACTTACGGGACACCTAGCAAGCCAGCTTCCCTCCCCGCCAACACACGCTCACACCACCCGCGCCCCGCCACACTCAAGTCCAACAGCTCGAGGAATTACTGATCACGCGTCCTTCCTCGTTCCCTCCACAGACTGCTCGGGACTGCGCTGATGTGGAGCTGGGGGCGCGACCTGCACCTGCGAGCCCCGCAACGGCCTCAAACCTAGGGCCGGGTCTGCCGCGCGGGGCGCCCCCCCAGTCCCTCCTGGAGACTACTCGCGCCCCCTGAGTCTCCGCGCTCTCGGACACGCCTGGCTTCCTGGGCCGTAGCCGCCGCCCCAGCCCTGTCACCTCGGGCCCCCCGGGACCCCGGGCCTCACCCCCTCCTCCAGCTCATCCTCAGAGCCCGCGTCCTCTGGCTGGTCCAGGTCTATGTCAAACACTCCTGCCATGTCCTCAGTTTCCCTGTCTCGGACGTCCGGCGCTGAGTAAAAGCCGTCCCGCCTCCGTCGTCGCCTCATGGGCCCGGACCCGCCGCAACCACCGCGGCCGCTGCCGCCATCACCGGCTGCTTAACCTTAGTGCGACTGCGCTTAGGCCCTAGACTGGCTCCTCAAGTTCAGCGCTAGAGCATGCGTACAGGGTCCCATGAAGCCCAACTGTGGGCAGTGGACATGCGTAGAACTATCACTAGGATCAAGGTATTGGCAGAAACATGCGCAGAACACCAGTCGAAGCCTCGCTTGGAGGCTAAAGCATGCGCATTGTCAGCTCAAGCGTTTGATGGACAGTGAGCATGCGTACCGTATCTGAAGTTGATAAATTGAAGTCGAACATGCGTAATTAACCTTTCTGAATACGAAGAAATACACACACACCCACCACCCCACCGACCCAAAAAACGGTTAGTTTGTTGAACATGCGCATTCGTTCTCGGGAGTTTTTAAGTGTTGAAGGCGAGTATGCGCATAATGAGAGGATTGGCCGTCTGGAGTTTGAACAAGACAGAAACGCCTAGTACCGGGGCTGTCAGTGAGTGGGTTTATTTTAATGAGGGGTTCTTGGGGCCGGTGGGGAAAGGGAGAGCCTTGGCTTTGCTCTTTACTAGTCTGGTGGCCTTGGGAAGTCACAAAGCCTTCCAGACCCTTAGTTTCCTTGTCCGTAAAAAGTGGATGATAATGCCTACTTTGTAGGATTGTGTGAAAATCTAAAGTACAGAGCCTGGCTCACAAACCGTTGCTCATTTCCATTGCTGCATAGATCTGGTGTGAGGTCTTTATCAGAAATTGTTTTGATTATTAAAAATAATGAAAACCTGTTCTGATATTTCATCTGGTCTGCTTTCTTCGAGCTCCAGCTTTCTTTCTGTCCTGGAGCTAAAGAGCCCTGGTGGCGTAGTGATTGAGAACTCGGCTGCTAACCAAGAGGTCACAAAATATAATTGTAGTTACTGGGCCAGAAAGGAGGTTGGTGAAGGGAGAGAATGTCATTATTTAGAAGAGAGAAAATTACTGTTACTTAAATGCCTGATTGCTGAGAGAAATTTCTGTGTTCTATGTGTCCATGTGGTGTAAACTGTGTATTACTACCTAATTCCATCAATCAGCATTCATTTTGTTTTGTTTTAAATGCATGCTGAGGAAAATAGTATGAATCAGATTGTGGAAGCTGTGTATGAATGTATTTGGGTATAGTAAATCACAAATCCCAAAATCATAAAGAACTTCCTTGAATGACTGGCTCCTTAGACAACGTAGCTATTTCATGTGCAACACTGTACATATATTGCATTTTTAAATTATATTTTTTATTGAGATATAATTAACATATTTGGCATTTCATTTATTCTTTTAGTAATATAGTGGTTCTGAAAGCCTCTATTTTTCTATTACAGGTTGCTCACTTTTTTGGTGGGAACTTGTGGCTCAGCATGTCAATAGTAACAGTGCAACTTGGTCAGTGTGGCAACCAGATTGGTTTTGAAGTGTTTGATGTTTTATTTAGTGACTCATACTGTTCCCAGGGACTCTGCTCTAAGAAAGAGAATGAGGCATATCAAGCATCTTGCAAAGAAAGATTCTTCAGTGAGGAGGAAAATGGAGGTATGTGTGGTCCATGGTTCTCTCCTTTAGTATGTAGTAGCCACTGTCTTCAAGGCCAAGCCTTCCACTTGGTGTCTGAACCCCATCCCTCCCCATCTCTCTAGGGACCTAACTTTGCTCTCTCCCATCTGTTCCCATCTGTTCCCATCTGCCTCCCAATGGCATCTTTCCTTCAGCACATGAGCATGCTCAGATCTCACCAATCTAAAACAAAGCAAGACAAACAAAAAAATTAATCTCTTAACTAAAGTTTTCTTTTCTTAACTTCTTGCCTTCTCATCCAAGATTCTCAACAGAGAACCCTCCTTAAGCCACTGTAATCCTGCTCTGCCCTTCACCACCACTGAAGCTACTCTGAGAAAAAGTTTCCTAATTACCAGATACAATGGATATTTTTCTTTTCTTAATTCACCTAACTTCACTGCTGGATTTGATAACACTAACTACTATAAAATTTCCTCCTTGAAATATTTTTCTTTTGATTTTTTTCCCTCTCTAGTTCTAGCTGCCCGGGCTGTACTTGTTGACATGGAACCTAAAGTTATCAATCAAACACTGTCAAAGGCTGCCCAGTCTGGCCGATGGAAGTATGGTCAGCATGCATGCTTCTGTCAAAAACAAGGTTCTGGAAACAACTGGGCATATGGGTAAGAATAATTCTGCTTAATTTGCAGTTTAATTGCAGCTACATTGCTGATTAATAGACAATGCAGTTACAATTGTACAGTTGGTATACCTAGCACACAATCTTGAAATTGCTACTTTAAAATTTAAAGTTTGAATTCACCCAGAAGAAACTCTCATTCCATCTCTGTGTCTGTGCTTCAGGTACAGGTAATGATGAAACCAAGGATCTCTTGCCTCAGGGTTTTCCACCTTCTTCACTGTCATGCTGCCAGCTAACTTATTGTCAATACATTATCTTTATCTGGCAAGTATTCTGGTTTATTGGGCAAGAATACTACAAGGCAGTAGTTCCGGAACTTTGCTGCACATTAGAATTTCCTGGAGATCACTGGAAAGACTCGATGCCTAGGACTCACTCCAAGAGATTTTTATTTAATTGGTTTGGGATGAAGTCCAAGTATTGGAATTTTCAAAGGTCCCCAGGTGGTTTTAATGTGCAGCAAAGTTTGAGAACCACTGCTTTAGAACTATTGTTATGAATATAAAATATTATGTTGTACCACAAACTTACAGAACTACTTGGTAATTGAAGGCTCCAGCTAAATGAATGTCCCATAAAAGAGAATTTCCTGTACCTGGTAAATGCACTCTCCTAGCAGTCGTATTCACCTGTTAAACATATTTGTGTATTTTAAATTCTGCCAGTTAGGGTACGTGTATCTTTCATAAGAATTAGTTCACTTTCACAGCTTCAAGAAGCTCGCTGTACCCCATGTCTGTCTCTCTGCGTTACATCTCTCTGGTCAGTTTTAAATGTGTTTGTATTTGTCTCTTTTGCATCGCATAGTTACTCTGTTCATGGACCCAGGCATGAAGAATCTATAATGAACCTAATTCAGAAGCAAGTGGAGAAATGTGACTCTTTGAGTGGTTTTTTCATCATAATGAGTATGGCTGGTGGCACAGGATCAGGGCTAGGAGCCTTTGTTACCCAGAATTTACAAGATCAGTACCCAAACTCTTTGAAAATGAATCAGATTATATGGCCTTATGGAACTGGTGAGGTATGAACATATTATTTGAAAAATTTATATTTTGCATTCTTTCCAATTGAAATAAATGTGGGTAAGAAATTGATTCTCACTCTTTCTTTGGAAGTGTTAAGTACAGCTTCAGGAATGATTATGCAACATGGTACCTTCATGAGTACAGTTCTCTTAACTTTGCTCAAACTTTTCCAGGCAAATAAGATGTCCTTGTTTTTAAAATTTCCAAAGAAGGTGATTGTGCATGTTCTCTCAGGAACCCACCCCTGGGTTAGTCCCTCTGGCTACAGTATGAAAAGCAGGGACCTTGACCTCATATTGGGGTTCATGTGCCATTACCAAGGTTCAAATAGTTTTTATTTCTTTCCATGGGGAAGAAGTTTGTATATAGGCTAATTTCGTGTTGATCAGTCTAGTAAGCGAATCAATAAAATGGAGGTGAGACAACTTACTATAAGAAATGGTCTAGGAAGGAAGTGTAATAATAGCCAAAATTTACTAAGCCCTTACTATGTACAAGGCCCTGTTCTAAGTGCTTTACTTTATTAATCTTGCTAACACTTGGAGACCAGTATAATTATTGTCCCCATCTTACCTATAATGTGGGATCATCATGAGTCAGAATCAATTTGATGGCAATGGGTTTGTTTGTTGTTTTTTTTTTTTTTTAAGCAAATGAGGAAACTGAGGCATTGAAAGATTAAATATCTTGTCCAAGATCATACTGACAGCTAGAAACTGACAGAGCCAGGATGTGAACCCAGGCAGGATGCCTTTATAGTCTATGTTCTTAACCACTATTCATTCCTGCCTTTCTTGTTTCTGACCTTTTTCTTTCCAGGTTATTGTTCAGAACTACAACTCCATTTTGACTCTTTCTCACTTGTACCGATCTTCGGATGCCCTCCTTGTTCATGAGAATGATGCTATTCATAAGATCTGTGTGAAACGGATGAATATCAAACAGATTTCCTTTAGCAATATAAATCAAGTCCTCGCACATCAGCTGGGAAGTATATTCCAGCCTACTTACTCCGCAGAAGGCTCATTTCACTGTAGAAGGAATCCATTAGGTACGTGTCCCTTTCTCCTTCTATATGTTACTTGTGAGAAAGTCTCATGTTCTGAAAGCCTGCAAGTTTACTCCTCTAATCAGATCCTTTGCCCATTTTTAAAATTAAGTTATTTATCTTTTTGATTTTTGAGTTGTAAGAGTTCTTTATATATTCTGAATTTTTACCAGTTGCTGTTGAGTCAGTTCTGACTCATGGTGATCCCATTTGTGTCAGAGTAGGACTGTGTTCCATAGGGTTTTCGGTGGCTAATTTTTTGAAAATAAATTGCCAGGCTTCTCTTCAGAGGCATCTCTGAGTAGACTCGAATCTCCAACCTTTCAGTTAGCAGCCAAGTATATTAACCATTTGTACCACACAGGGACTGCATATTCTGGATACAAGTCCCTTATCAGGTTTATGATCTGCAAAAAAAAAAGCTTTCATTCTGTGGGTTGTCTTTTCACTTTCTTGATGATGTCGTTTCTCTTCTTATGCCTTGCTACCTGGCTTTCTTTCCTTCCTGTCTTCCATCATGACACTCTTTATTCAGCATGGTTTACGGTCTCCAAATCTAGTGGGCTTCTCTTAGCCTCAATATCTAGCAAGGCTTTGAATTGGTTTGTTCTGGTTCAAACAACTAATGAAAATTTCCATTTCCACCCCAGATATAGAGTCAGAATCTACATTTTAACAAGATCCCCAGGTGATTCTTATGTATAATAAATTTTGAGAACCACTGCTCTACTAGTAAGGAGCCTTGGTGGCGCAGTAGTTAAAGCGATCAACTGCTAACCCAAAAGGTCAGAGGTTTAAAACTACCAGCGGCTATGTGGGAGAAAGATGTGGCAGTCTGTTTCCTTAGAGATTTACAGCCTTGGAAACCCTACGGGGTTGCTATATTTTGGCTCTACTGTAAGGTCACTATGAGTTGGAATCGACTCGAAGGCAATAGTTTTTTTTGTTTTTTATTCTAGTGGTTCTGAGAATTGGTCCCTAACCAGCAGCATTAGCATCCCCTGGGAACTTCTTAGAAATGCAAATTCCCAGCAGGGGTTTGAACTGGAACAAATCAGTTCAAAGCCCTAGTATCTGTCAGCATTTTATAATTAATACCCTCATCCTTCCTCAGCTTGTCAGCGTGAGGACTTTACTGTTCTTATTCTTCTTCTCCTTCTTTAATTGCTCTCACTTGTGTTTTCTGACCATTTTTATTTCCATCTGCTCCTCAGACATACATTTTCTACCATTTTTTCTTCAGCCCTTATTCTTCAGGTGGTACCTTATTAATTCAAATCATCTAGATGCAAATGACTCCATAATCCTTACCACCAGTTCTAATCTCTTTCCCAAATAGCTATCTCTTAGTGGTCTGCTGCTGCTTCGAATTTAGCATGTTTTGAATGGATTCATCTTTTTATTTTTCCTGTCATTTCTCTCCATCCATCACCAAAACCAGCTCTTCTTCTTCAATTCCCTGTTCCTATCACGCAAATTTCTCATACTGTTCTCCTCTCTCATCAGTATGATCAGACTTGTTGGTGCCATCTCTGCCATCTGTCTGGCTTTCTTCTACTTTCCTGACTTATCAGTATTAGTTCAAGGCCTCTCAGTATTTTTCAGTTAATATAGCTGTTGTCACTAGTTGCCATTGAGTCAATTCCAGCTGACTCTTATGATGATTGCGTGTTTGCAGAGTAGAACTGCTGCATAGGATTTCCGAGGCTGTGACCTTTCGAAAGTAGATTGCTAAGCTTGTCTCCCAAGGCGCTGCTGGGTGGATTCGAACTGCCAACCTTTCAGCTTGTAGTCCAGTGCTTGTGCCACCCAGGGCCTCCTAGTATAGCTGTACTCTTCCTGAGTACAAAGCAAACTAGCCTCTTTCTAGTTCCTTTTTTTTTTCCCACAAAAACAGAAATTTAGTAAGGTGGTCTTCATCCTGCTTTTCTTCCTGTTGCCTGCCTCTTCCTCCTTGCACACTGGCTCCAAATGAGCTTCCTTGAAACACAGTTCTGATCCTTGTGCTCTCTTATGTACATTCCAGGGCTCGTGTGTTGCCTACCAGGTTTGACAGGATTCGTTAGCGTGGCATTCCCTGTCCTCCGCATAATACCCTAAACCCTGACATTGTAGCTTCATCCGCTTTGCGTGGATCCCCACCCACCTTTCATCTTACTCGACTAATTGTCTTTCTTCATTCTGGTAGTACTTTCCTACCCTGGTTTCCTTGCTCAATGTTCCCTCTTCTTAGGAGCTCCTCCCTCCATCCCTTTATACCTCCATTGAAATCTTACTCATCCTTCATATCCTTCAGGGTCCAATTCAAATGATCATTTTTCCGTGAAACTTTCTTACTGAGGCCTTAAGCCAGAAGAAGAGCCTTGGTGCGCAGTGGTTAAGAGCTCAGCTTCTAACCAAAAGGTCAGCGGTTCAAATCCACTAGCCACTCCTAGGAAACCCTGTGGGGCAGTTCTACTCTGTCCTATAGGGTCGCTATGAGTCGAAATAGACTCAACGGCGGTGGGTTAGCCAGAAGAAGCCCTTCTTTCCTCTGAACTTCCATAGCATTCTGTATCTCTTTTATATTTACTTAATATTTTTTGCCTTTTTTTCCAAAGTGTGCTTGTTTGCCTTTAAAAGTAACACACACACACACATACATATTTATTCAAGAAGTACAAAAGGATATGCAGTCAAAAGTAAGTCTCCCTCTCACCTCTTCCCAGATGCTTCCATGTGTTTCCTTAGAGAGGGATTCTGTCACGTTCATGTTTTATCATTCCTCTCATTTGCAGCTTTCTTGGAAACGTGTCTTGTTAATTTCTGCATCCTACAGGACTTAGCGTATTAGGTGCACAATTGTTCATTCGTTCAACTAACATTTTACTTTCTATTGTGTACCAGGTGCTATGCTAGATGTTGGCGATACTGTAGAGAGCCAACAAAGACATTGTGTTCCATGTGAAAGGGAGACATTAATCAAATAATTACACCAAAAATGTATAATTACAAACTGAGTTAAATGCCCTGAAGGAAAGGAGTACAATTCTAAGAGAATGTATCACAGAGGAACCAGACCTAGAATTAAGGTCCAGAGAAGGCTGCCCTGAGGAAATGACACTGGAGCTGAGAGCTGTATCATGACTAGGAATTGACTAAGGGAAGGAAGGGAGAAGAGGATTCCAAGCAGAATCACATGTGCAAAGACCCTGTGGCAGAAGGGAGCATGGCACAACAAGAACTGAGAGAAATCCAGTGTGTTTGGAGCACAGACAGTGGTTTGGGTTGTGGTTGGAGTCTGAGGCTAGAGTGGTGGGCAGGGGCTGACAGCACAGGTCATTGAGGCCATTTTAACCTCATTAACCTAAGAGCAGGGGAAAGCTGGGGCCTTGGTGGTGCAGTGATTAAGCGTTTGGCTGCTAACCAAAAGGTTGGCAGTTTGAATCCACCAGCTGCTCCTTGGAAACCCTATGGGGCAGTTCTGTTCTGTCCTATAGGGTCACTACAGAGTCGCTATGAGTCGGAAACAACTCAACGGCAACGGATTTGGTTTTTTTTTTTGTTTTGGGGGAAAGCCACATGAGGATTTTAATCAGGTTGGTAACTGTCTTAGTCATCTAGTACTGCTATAACAGAAATACCACAAGTGGATGACTTTAACAAAGAGAAATTTATTCTCTCACAGTCTAGTAGGCTACAAGTCCAAATTCAGGGCATCAGCTCCAGGGGAAGGTTTTCTCTGTTGGCTCCGGAGGAAGGTTCGTGTCATCAATCTTCCCTTGGTCTAGGAGATTCTCCATGCAGGAACCTCAGGACCAAAGGGCACGCTCTGCTCCTGGCACTGCTTTCTTGGTGGTATGAGGTCCCCATGTCTCTCTGCTTGCTTCTCACTTTTATATCTCAAAAGAGATTGGTTTAAAACACTATCTAATCTTATAGACCTCGTCAATATAACTGCTGCTAATCCATCTTATTACATCATACTGATAGGATTTAGAACACGTAGGGAAATCACATCATATGACAAAATGGTGGACAGTCATACAATACTGGGAATCATGACCTGGCCAAGTTGACAGATATTTTTGGGGGACACAGTTCAATCCATGACAGTTATCTAGTGCTATAACAGAAATACCACAAGTGGATGGCTTTAACAAAGGGAAATTTATTCTCTCACATTGTAGGAGGCTAGAAGTCTGAATTCAGGATGCCAGCTCCAGGGGAACACTTCCTGTCTCTGTTGGCTCTGGGGGAAGGTCCTTGTCAACAATCTTCCCCTGGTCTAGGAGCTTCTCATCACAGGGACCCCAGGTCCAAAGGACACACTCTCCTCCTGGTTCTTCATTCTTGGTGGTAGGAGGTCCCTATCCTCTCTACTCCATTCTCTCTTTTATATCTCAAAAGAGATTAACTTAAGATATAACCTAATCCTGTAGATTGAGTCCTGCCTCATTAACATAACTGGCTCTAATCGTGGCTCATTAACATCATAACCAAAACCAAACCAAACTCATTTCCTTTGAGTTGATTCTAACTCATAGCGCCCCTATAGGACAGAGTAGAATTGCCCCATAGGGTTTCCAAGGAGCGGTTGGTGGATTCGAACTGCCAACCTTTTGGTTAGCAGCCGAGCTCTTAACCACTGTGCCACCAGGGCTCCCATTAACATCCTAGAGGTTAGGATTTACAGCACATAGGATAATCACATCAGATCACAAAATGGTGGACAACCACGCAGTACTGGGAATCATGGCCTAGCCAAGCTGACACACATTTTCGGGGACACAGTTCAATCCATAACAGTAACAATTACATTTGCTTTTGAAAAGATCTATTGGACTGCCTGAGGGGAGTCTGTGGGCTGGTCTAGTCAACCACTGTAGAGAGATTGTGGTGGCTTCAGCTCACTGCACTGAGATAATAGACACAAGACAGGAGCTCCCTGGACTCCCACTGCCACTCTTCACTGTGCGTGGGCCTACACTGTGTCTCACTTTGTGTCAGCGTAATGATTAAGTGCTACAGCTGCCAACCAGAAGGTCAACAGTTCGAATCCATTTACAGAGGTTTATTATGTTCACAAGCAAGTCCACTGGCAGGAGGTCATTTGTGCAGCATTTTGTAGATGTTTGTGTCAAAACTTAATATTCTTTTCATAAGGACGTAGGATACAAGTTTGCACTCAATGTTACCATAAAATGTACATTTCATGTTATGTTAATATGTTTTTTTCTCTCCCCTAGGTATTTTTATAAATATATAAGATAGCTTTGAATGCAAAGCAAATGAGCTGATTCTTTTTTCATTACTAGTACAAGTTTCCAAAGGTAGACACATCCCTGTCTTCAGGGATCACTAATCCTGCCTTCTGTCCTGGTAGGATTTCATGTTAACAGGTTTTGATGATCATTTAACCAGATAAAATATATAAAAGATCTAGGAAAATTCCTAAAGGAACATTTAGTGAACACAGGATAATAAGAAAAGCATTTTAGCCTTTGTACTCACTTTGTTTTCCTGGGGTTTAATTAAGTATTTTGTTCACATTTCCAGTTACTCAGTTTCTAAACTCTTGTTTCCTTTTTGGCAAATGTGTGTTTTCTCACCCATACTAAGGTGCTATAATGAAGCAAATATATGGTATGTAATAGACATTGTCTCTAAAATGTTATTTATATTTTAAAATATAAGCATTTCTGGCTTTAGAAAAACACATTTGGCCCAGAGATCATGTTGTATATAAGCCATTGGCAACAATCTGGAATAAAAAAATTTAGTTCAGAACTTTTTTTTTCTTTCTTTTTTTTTTTTTTTTTTTTTACAGGAGACTTAATGGAAGATTTAGTTCCCCATCCAGAATTCAAGATGCTGGGTGTGCGTAACATTCCTCAGATGTCTGAGAACTCACTGGCATATAGCACGTTTACTTGGGCTGGCCTTCTCAAGCATTTGAGACAGATGCTCATCTCTAATGCGAAAATGGAAGAAGGTAACGGGTATTTTAAAAATATACAACCCACAAGCTGGGAAAAGTGCCTGTCCTGGAACTCTCAATATAAACTGGCTTGGGCTGGTTAGAATAGTGGTCCCTTCTTCTGGCCAGGGAAGCTCCTGCAGAAATTCACCAAGGCATCCCAGAAAGGCTTCTTAGTCATTACAGTTTCATTTCCAAAAACCATTTCAGATGAGTGTCACATGATTTTTCCAAATTTTAATTTTATTTTAATCAAAGTAGTTTATGAATGAACAGTGTACAAAATCAAGTACACCTTCTCCTCACTTATCAACTCTCTCATTATCTGACATTTTGTATTTACAACGATAGTAAAAATCTACTATCCAACTATTTTGCACATTAACGACGTACGTCTGGCAGTAATGAATGCCTAGGTGCAAGGCGAGAATAACACTGGCTTTGATGGTTAAGGCTGTGTGTCAACTTGGCTGGGCCATGATTCTCAGTGGTGTGGCAACTATGTAATGATGTAATTTGGCAGTTATGTAATGACTCACCTTGCACCTAGGCGTTCATTACTGCCAGACGTACATCATTAATGCGCAAAATAGTTGGATAGTAGATTTTTACTATCGTTGTAAATACGAAATGTCAGATAATGAGATAGTTGCTAAGTGAGGAGAAGGTGTACTTGATTTTGCACGCTGTGATGTAATTTGATAGTTATGTAATGATGTAGTCATCCTCCGTTTTGTGATCTGATATGGTAATCCTCCATTTTCTCGTAATACCAGTTTCTTCTGTTGCATAGCACAAGGAAACAACGTTCAGCAAACACTTGCCTTTGGAAACCTAACCATGTCAATAAGTGAGGAGAGGGTATAGTCAAAAACTCATACATTGCACTGTATGTAAACAATATCTTAATTTAAAATAATCAAGTAATGGTACAGTATGAACTTATAACAGGGAAAACAGCAGTCCCCTGTTCTACACTTGCCTACTCCCCAGCTGAAGCTACTTTTAACATTTTTAGCTGTTTCTTCTGGACTTTGCCTTCATATTTCTAAATATTATGCTCATACTATTATTCGTTTTATTTTTCAGTTTTAGATATTATCCATTGCCTTCCTAATGTGAAAAATGAGGATTGAAACTTTTTATACCACTTCTACACACACACACCACACATACATACTCATCTCCCTTCATTCTTCCAATATAGTTAAAATATATTGTTTGGTTAGATAAATTTTCAGTGTTTATATTACTTTGACTATGTAAATATTACTCACAGTTGAGCCATGTACTGTGTGCACTGATTATATTTTATTTCATGTATAATTAATTTTTTATTCCTAGAGTTAATAATTATATTTATTTGGTTGATATTCTGTGTATCTATTACTAATCTGTCCCTAAACTTTGCTGTAAAAATGAATGCCTTCTCAGAATGTTCAAACCCATCAGGTAATCTATTCTATCATCTGCTTGGAGAAATCTCTCCAGGCCTGATGAACAGCTGACACTGGCATCTCTCTTTGCCTCATCCTGTATTATATCCCATTTCCTGGCTTTCAGATCTTCCTCTGTTTTGGCTTGTTTCCTCATTTTGATGGATATACCTTTCAGTAGCTTCCTCAGGAAGGAAAAACTTAACAATATACATTTTTTAATTTTCATTGTGGTAAAATATATATAATGAAACATTTGTGATTGTAACCATTTTGAAGTGTACAGTTTAGTGACATTAATTATCCTCACCATGTTGTGTAACCATCACCACTATCCATTTCCAAATGGTTTTTATCACCCTAAACAGAAACTCAGTAGCCTTTAAGCAATAACTCCCCCCTCCCCCTACCACCCAACCCTGGTAACCCCTAATAAAATTTAGTCCCTATGCATTTGCCTATTCTAGATATTTCATAAGTGGTATCATACAATATTTGTCCTTTTGTGTCCGACTTATTTTACTTCGTATGTTTTCAAGGTTTATCCATGTTGTAGCATGTATTAGAACTTCATTTCTCTTTATAGCTGAATAATACTTCATTGTATAAATATACCACATTTTGTTTATTCATTTATGTGTTGATGGACACATGGGTTGTTAACACTTTTTGGCTATTGTTTATAATGCTGCAGTGAATACTGGTATACAGGTATCCATTTGAGTCTCTGTTTTCAAGTCTCTTAGGAATAGAATACCTAGGAGTAGAATTGCTGGGTCCTATCGTAATTCTGTGTTTAACTTTTTGAGGAACCACCAGACTTTTCTCCACAGCAGCAATGGATGAGGGTTCCAATCTCTCCATGTCCTCAACAACACTTGTTATTTTCTGATAATAGCCATCCTAGTGAGTGTGAAGTGATACCTTATTGTGGTTTTGATTTACATTTCTCTAATGACTAGTGGGGGCCCTGGTGGCACAGTGGTTAAGAGCTTGGCTGCTAACCAAAAGGTCGGCAGTTCGAATCTACCAGCTGCTCCTTGGAAACCATATGGGGCATTTTTACTCTGTCCTATAGGGTTGCTATGAGTCAGAATTGACTCGACAGCAATGGGTTAATGCCTAGTGAAGTTGAGCATCTTTTCATGTGTTTATTGGTCATTTGTGTATCTTCTTTGGAAAAATGTATATTCGAGTCCTTTACTCATTTTTAAATTGTGTTTTTGTGTTTTTGTTGTTGATGGAAGGTAAAAATTTTAAGGCTACAAATGGCATTATTCTGCCCTCACATTTGATTGATGGTGTGGCTGAGTATATGATTCTAGACTGGGAATCATTGCTGTTAACTTCCAACTTCCATGTTGCTGTCCCATGTCATTTTGATTCCTAATCCTATTTTTTTTCTCTCTTGAAGATTTTAAGATTTTTTCTTTGTGCCTAGAATTTTGAAATTCCTTTGTGTAGGTCTTTTGTTTATCTCTGCAGAGATACTGTTATCTCAGTAGAATGTAAGCTTATCAGAGCAGAGATTCTTATCTGTTTTGTCCACTGTTGTATCTGGAACTGTGGTTCCAGCATACAGCAAATGCTGAATAATTACTTGCTAAATAAATGAATGAATCCATTACATTAGACATTCAGTGGACCCTCATGGACATAGTAAGGTGGCCTATCTGGCCATTTTAGTGGTGGGCCCCAAAATGGTATTCCTTATGAATTTTATCTCTTGATTAATTATACCTCTTCTCTGATCTTTCTTGAAGGCAGAATAAGCTTGGCTACCAGCCTTCTCAGATATGAACTGGGAAAAACAAGGGCTATTCTATTTCCCCGTGAAACCAGTTGCAGTAGAGTCCATTCTGACTCATTGCGACCCTGTGTGTGTCAGAGTAGAGCTGTGCTCAATAGCGTTTTCCAAAAACAAAACAAACCAGTTGCCATCCAGTCGACCCCATGTGTTGCAGAGTAGAACTGTGCTCTATAGAGTTTTCAAGGCTATGACCTTTCGGATTGCTAGGCCTTTCTTCTGAGGCATCTCTGGGTGGGTTCAAATTACCAACCTTTTGGTTAGTAGTCAAGCGCTAACCAGGGATTTCTATAGGGGTTTTTTCCCAGTGGCTGATTTTTCAGAAGTAGATTGCCAGGCATTTCTTCTGAGGAGCCTCTGGTGGACGTGAACTTCCCAACTTTTTCTTAGCAGTGGAGTGTGTTAACCATTTGCAAAATTTCAGTAAGGTGCTCTGCAAGGGTGTGCCTGGTGTCACTGAGGCCAGATGCTCACTGGTGTAGCCTTTCCAGACAGGAGACCCCCCTCTAGGATGGAGAAGGGGTGAGGGGCAGCCCCTCTGCTTCAGGGAGTGGGGGAAGAGATCTGGGGCTCCCCCTGCTTCTCATACAGATTTTGAACCAATTTCCCTGTTTCCCCCTCTTTTAGAAGTGACTGGCCTGCTTCTAGGACCTCCACTGTGGGCAGAAGTTTCTGCTACGTCAGTAACCACTGGTTCATTTACTTTCCAGCTTCCAAAACTTTGTTGTCATTATCTTCTCTTCTGTTCTTTTTTCTCGTTTATGTCCTTAAAAAAATCCCTTTATTGTCTTCCTAGTGGGATTTTGGGAGAGACTGGCAGTAAACTAGTGTGTTCAGTCTGTCCTGTTTAACTGGAAATCACTACTATGTGTTATTTTAGTAGAATATATTTTATCCCAGAGTAACTTAAAGTTATTTATTTATACTTAGGTTTCTCTCCTATGAAAGTTGATTTCCTCTACAGTTACTTGAAATATGATATGGATTTTAAATTATAGTGCCAGAGGTTTGAAGATGAGTAGAAAGTTCACATCTTAAAGTAGTACTTCCCAAATATTTTGGCTGCAGTACTTGTTTTTCTAGCAATACCTGTGAACATCTCAAGGAACACAGTGTTCCTCAGGGTAGTGTGGGACATGCTGCTCTTGACTCTCTAAGGTCAATAAACCATGGTTTGCTTAGTCATTTTCCCATGCTGGACTTTTAGGGTATTAACATTTCTTCACAGTTATTGGTAGATCTTTGAACATATAAATGTTTTCATGTATATATGTGTGTATCGTATGATTATGTTGTTAGGTGATGTCGAGTCGATTCTGAGTCAGTGACTACATGTGACAGAGTAGAACTGTCCCATAGGGTTTTCTTGGCTGCAGTCCTTACAGGAGCAGATCGCCAGGTCTTTCTCTTGGGGAGCTGCTGGGTGGGTTCCAGCTGCCAACGTTTCGGTTAGCAGCCAAGAACTTACCTGTGTACCACCAGGGTTCCTTTCATATATGATTGTATTAATTTATATAAAAATGTATATAATATATTTATGGCATTGATCAGGTTGAAGGATATAGTTTTGTAACTGTTTATATGCTGTCAGGCTGCTCTTATCTCTATTTCCACATGTCCTAGCAAGGGGGGAATGAGTGATCCAGGAGGTAGCAAGACGGAAGTTGCAATGTCATTTATAACCTAGCTTTGGAAGTCACACACCATTGTTTCTGCAACATCATTTTAGTTACTAAGGTCAGCCCTATCCAGTGTTGAAGGGGCCTATGTAA